AATTCCGATACAAATTGTAGATTCTAGAGCACAAACAGTTTATATCCGAAAAACAGCCTAACTGACCGATGATGGATCTAGGTAGAAGATATCTAACTGAGAGCAGAAATTTTGATCTCCATTTAGGCTGTGAAGGTTGTAGTATTTGTAGTAATTGATTATTCTTTTTAACCCGATTTTCAGCTTGTTACGAATTCCAAGCAAAATGCGTTCAGTTCATGAAGCTTCATCTGTCTTAAATAGGAATAACACAAGAAATCTAGTACTTTCAACTATCCTAGGTTTCCAGATGCCATATAGATTTCCTTTTTCGTGCTCTGATGCCCTTATCCATTACTTGGTCTTCTTTAAATCAATCTGTTCCTTGACTTTTTCTGCTCTTATATGGCCAATGTTCATTCTAGACTTTCTGGATCTTTCCCAAACTGTCAACATTGACTCACTGTTAATTCTAGCGCTTTTTGAGGCTTATTGTCTACCGCTTTGAAGCTATTACTATCCGTTTTCAGTTTTCTCCATAGTATTTTCTTATTCTCTGAATAGATCTTGACTATGCTGCTGAAGGCTTGCAAGTTTGAAGTGTATTCAACATTCTCGTTACTTCCGTTCACTCTGTGTCAACACACTATGTTGATACTCAGTTTTGTCCATTCATATCTCGACACTCAATTCTGATAATAAGATGGTTAGGTCTTTCCATATACGGTTCTTTAACACAATGCATAAACTTACATGAAATTGGTCCTAATAATCTCTTCTGCCACCATTCTTAGGTGAGCAGTACTGTATAAAACTCACTGAAATCGTTTCTTCTCGCTAAATTCAGATAGATAGATTTTAATTATTCTTGTCAGAACCGCTAATTTAGTGACTCTTCTGGTCTCCCATATTGTCCGAACACCAAAAGTAAATGTTTCCATAGCGGTATCAAGGACTTGTGGCCTCGTATCTTCAAAAGAATCTTGATTTTCGTCGTGAGGAGTCGTGAGTTTGCTATCATGAGTCCCTGAGACTCGCAATTCAGAGTTCAAATGGATCAACGTGTCAACTCTGACTAGCCTTACTACTAATCCTCGTCCTTCCTCCTGGTTTGAAAGTAGTAGTTTTCCTGCTCTGCTTCACACATAAGTTAGCTCGAAAGTGTTTAGTACTGTGTAAATCATACATTTTTAAAGCTTGAGAAATTCTAGTTTCAGCATTTGTTAGCCATTACTAATAAATATAGAACTGTTGTCCATTTTCTACCATACGAATTGATAGTGAGGCACACTTTTAGCGCGCTAGTCAATTTTTGTACGATCGGATGAGTTGCAATAGATTACCACTGGTCTGTTGGGCTATTTTTATGCGTCCCAAAAAGATTATAAATTGTGTTGTTACTCCAATAGATGTTAATCCATAAATTTTCATTTCGTTATCTATAATGTAGGGGACTATTTGCATGTGTTGTCTAAGCATTACTGTTTAGAAATCGATGTTGATGGTTGTTGAGGTTTCCTCGTATTGTTTTCTATTGACGTTATTCGAAACTTTTACCTGGTTTTCACACCTTCAGGCTTTCTCACGGACTTGTGTGCAATTTGACATACCTTCAATGTCAGTCTTCTAGTTGTGTCATGTTCTCTGAAACAAATGGCTTGATTTCAAAGATCTCATTATTTTGTACATCAGTTTATCTCACGTGAAGGTGCCGAGTACAGCCAATTGTATGGATTTCACTTGCTTTGATGACTTTGTCGTCCAGTGTTTTCTTCCGGATTTTTTAGTGTGCTGTACTTGTTTTCCATGCTTCTGATTTATTTGTCCCTTTACTCGTAACCTATTGACTTTTTCTTAACGTGTTAATAAGCAGGGGTTGTATAGATATGTCTAGTGGACCCAAATTAATCTGAATACTTTCACTAATAAAGTGTTTATTGTTTCTCTGCGCCAGTCACGTATGTGTTGCTGTAAACTAACCTCACCATGGTTATACATAAAATATTGCCGTATTAAGACAATTTTACTGGATGAAGATTCTGGTCTCAATTTGGGGAATTTGCCGTGTGCCGGCACCCCCTTAGTCTGAGATCGGACGAAGAAGAAACAGCAAGTGTAATTGCCAGTACCGTTAACTTAGCTTTCACTATTGTCAGCAGGCTGAGACACTAATTGTCGACAAACCAAAAGATGAAACAACCTCTACCTAAACCGTTATGTGTAATTGTAATTATCCTCTCACTGTCAGGGCAAGGTGAATACTTTATTTCGGAAGTGCACTTTAAGTAGTACTGATGGGATGAATGCAACCATACGATGTAGATGGCAAAAATCTCATGGAAAGGTTAAATGTTGCGAATCCGTCCAAAAGTTAAAACCAGAAGGATAGCTTAAGAAAAGCTTCCTGTAGTTAACAAGAAGGAAGCGACAATACGGTACAAAGCTGTTAACACAACTTCCAAGGAAGTCATATCCATTCCTGGTTTAATTATTTGAAATCTGGGGATGTCGAGAGAAAACGACTGTCAAAACTCATTCACACAACGGCGTTAGCGGGTCCTGTCATCAGAAAGACACTGCTGGTAAGGGATTTAGAACATGTTACTTCATTAACAAAACTCAGTAAATGCGTTGGAGACAAGACGCAGTCACTAAAGATCTTGAAGATATCACTTGGAAGTTACGGGGAAAGAGACTACCAAATAACTAGTGAAAAACTCGAATATTGGTAGTCGACGGAATCAAGTGGGAGAATGCTTTTACTGAGTTAAAAACTCAAAAGTAAAACAGATCAGGTCGTAAAAGAATGCTCGCGGGACCTGTATGGATAGAAAAGTTGTTGTCAAAACACCTTGGGTGTGTGTCACACAAACGTTCATAGTCTTACAAACAAAACGTCTGAACTAAGCTTGGTGATGACTGGATTTCCCCAATATAATTGTTGTCCCAGCAACGTACCTCGTCGTACATGTGGACTGTTTTCCAGTCATTACAGGAAACATCTGTGTTAAAAGTAAGAGCTATAAATCACAAGGAGGCATAATACTCTATGTTATGCATCACTTTCGTTCACAATCGAGCCCATCAGAGACTATAGTGTTGCGTGTGAGGTAGCTTGTCCAAGTAAATCTAGGCATTAACTAATGACTATAGAAGGAATATAACGCAGCCTACGTTGTCTTGTTGATGACTTTGTCTTAACGCATGTTTGTTATTGGAATAGAGCTGATATTTGTCTCATAATAGGCGATTTCAATGAACCGAAATTTGTGTGAATATTTTGATGGTAGCCTGCTGTCAACTATCGTTGATAGGACCGACACATTCAATTGGAACCATTATTGCTGGACTTTGTCTTTGAGCACCCCTGTGGCAAATACTCTACCCATCTGTGTAATACCACTTAAGGCATTACGTCCAAGCATCTGGTCCGTCTATCAACAGAAGGACGAGTATACTACGCGGCAGTCCGTTCTGTTTTAATTTACGGCAGCGAAACATGGCCATTAAGAGTCGAAGACACTCGTAAGCTACTAGTATTTGACCACAGATGTCTTAGAAATATTGCTGGCATCTGCTGGGATCACCGGGTAAGTAATAGTGAAGTTAGACGCAGGGTATTAGGAAATGATGGTAAGTCAGTTGATGAGGTTATGAATCTTCATCGACTGGGATGGTTAGGCCACGTGTTACGTATGCCTGAACACCGATTACCACGACGTGCAATGCTATCCGGTATTGGAGATGGTTGAAAGAAAGTTAGGGGCGGCCAAACCAAAACGTGGCATCAGTGCTTGAAGTCAGTAACTTCTAGTCTGAGCCATGTTGGTAGATGCAGACTACTTGGTTGGGGTCCGCGTGACAATCGTAACCAATGGTTGGAGACTCTTGGTGACATGGCTCAGAATTGATCACAATGGCGTCGGTGTATACACTCTTTGTCTTCCCTTAAACTATGAGATTAAAATCGCTTCATATCTTCCTTCCTTCCTGTACTGTATCCTTATATGCAGTATTTCTTTTATATATCACCATCTCTGAATTAACTACTTTCATGAATCCGGTGTCCATCTTGTTGTGTTAATGAGGTATGGCAACTTGGACCGATGCACATATGTGCCTGGTCCTACGTTGTAGCTGACTGACTGAAGAATGCTGACACACCATTGTGTTCTGCTTTGAGGATAAAGTTATTAAAGGGTATTTCCAAAATCCCTTACGATGAGCGCTCAAAACTCCTGTTTTCTCCTTATCTTATCGTAGAACGCAAGCCGACCTGATATTGGCTTTGTATATGTTTAATATTGATTTGGGTGTTAATGTTTTATCTTTTTGCTCCCTCCAGAATTAATCTCCGAGGTCATAGAAAAAAGGTCCAAAAACTGCGATCGAATAAACTGAGTGGGGCTCCATTTTTCTCATCGAGTGGTCATTGGCCCAAACGCCTTGCTTGAACAAGTGGTATCAGTCACATCAGTGAACATTTTAAACGAGAAATTGCACCTGCACTGGAAAACAAGCTCTAAGGATTAATTCATGTCCACCGACCTACTATCCGTATTATTAAACGCTGAAGTTCTTATAAAATATTCTGGCTAACACTGACGATTTTTTTATACGTTTTGTCAAGAACTATTAATAAGGAAGAAAATATCTACTTAAGTTGATTATATTGAGGTGAAATTCGCCTGTCTGGTTGCACTCAATCCAAACAAATAAAACCTCACATAGTTTGTTATGTGGAGTCACTGAATTGTGCAATTATTTTGTTTATTTCTGTATTCACAACTGCGGTGTTTTATCTCTAAATGCTTTACTTGGTTCTAATGAAGATTACGATTACTGTCTCATTAGAAATAAGATGTTTTAAAAGATATCTCATTATAAGTAGAGAGCAGGTATTAACGATCAAAAGTTAGACTGCTTCAGACCAGTTTTCCACTCATCCACTAAAGTGTATTTCTTTGTTTTTAGGCACGCAATACTACTTAAGAAGTTGTTAATCGGTTCGTCTTTCATTTATGACCACAGCACGAGTAGTAATGGATACTGACAACACGGTGCTTTCTGAAAAACATAGTAAACCTGGTGTAATAATGTCAGGTCATAAGTGTCCTGTTTGTCCTCATTCCTGTGCTTCTCAATCTGGACTCATAGGTCATCTAACTACAAAACATAAAGAGCGTTTGGCCGCTGTTTGCAAAGTTTGTCAACAGATCTTTGCATCGGATGCTATAGGTTCTCATGTACTTAAATGCAAGGGTAGCTATTCCTGTCCTTACTGTCGTGCTACGTTTTCGTCGCCCTCTTATTTACAGCGTCACATCTCCAGGCGTCACGAGATTTTTGATCGCCCCACCTGTAGTGTTTGTGGAAAGGGTTTCTCATCGACCAATTCATTAGCTGTTCATAAGAGATTGCACCGAAGCAAGTTTTGTAATTTCTTTAGTTGATGTTTGTAGATTATATGCCATACTACTGCCAGCTTTGCAATGCTAATTTTGCTCAGAAAAGTCATCTTAAATTGCATTTAGACTCTCATCATGCCTATGTCGAATTAGATGAGACACGGAAACCTTTTGTGTGCAAAACCTGCGACCGTGGATTTCTGTTTATTATCAGTTTGCAACGACACCTATTACAGCATTGTAAGCTTAGTCCTAAAAGTATGTTGGCTTTTATCAATATAATTTTCGTTCAGAGTTACTGCCGTGCGAAGTCTGTAAAAAAAACTTTGCTCATCAAAGTGAACTAGAACGCCACAGCATCATTCACACCAAGTGCTCGCCATACCAATGCTCATTTTGTTCTCGTACGTTCACGCGTCCTAACTTGTTGAAGAACCATGCTTTGTTACACACCGATCCAAGTCTTCTAACCTGCTGTTACTGTTCTCGAGTCTATGCTTCTCGTGCTTATTTGCTACAGCATATAAAGAAGCATGAAGAAAAACTGCAAATATCTTCAATTCCAAGTTTAGGTACAACTTCCATTTCAGAGATAGAAACAAGTATCCTTGACGATTGCAGAGTAAATGTACCAAAGGAGATGGATAAGGTAAGTGGAATATATGTCTTGGCATGTAGTTTTTCAGGTATGTGAAGGTTCGACATTCAAGGACTTATGTAATGATCAAGTCGTTTCCCCAGATGTCGGCTTTCTACATTCGTTGTTATATGGACAAAATATGAGTTGATACACAGACTGTTACGTGTAGTTAGACTTTTATCAGTGATTTAGCTTCCTAGTCTTCCCTAGTTCAGTATTCCTGCAGTCCACAATCTTCGAACCATACAAATCGATTTCATGCTCTAGTTAGTTTTCATTTACGAACGTTGCAGCATGCATTTCGCCATCAGCCGATTACAACTTATTGCATTTTTAGCTTTTAAGTCTTTCGAGGATAGCTCGCTTTTCCGATTTGCAGTAATCTATCTGGGCATTTCTTATTTAACTTTTACGAAATTTGCTTCAGCTTATTCTGTAATTGCTACTTACAACCATTTAAGTTGATTAAATGACTATTTATTTATTAGATTTACTTCCTTCCCGCACTATATTTCATTTTGTGATAGCTATTGTATTTACCAAGTGTTACCGAATTCTTCGACGAGTAGTTACGATCTAGGTCCCATGCTTTCGTTTTAAAATCATAATCCGGTTCTTTTTTTTGATCCTTGTGTCTTTCTGCGGAGTTGGAATCGTAGTTATGTTTTTATGCGGTCTTCAGCTCCTTTCCAACTTTTTCAGTGATGATAAGATTATAAGTTAATTTTTGTCTGTTCTACATCGATGTACGTCATCTATATTTTTGTAAGTTATCGACCGGACTTACATAATGTCAGGACATGACTGCCTGATCGATATCGTTTGGTTTTTATATTTATCTCTTTTTTTCATTTTTTACGCTGCTCTTATGCATTTCGCATGTTTTCTGTAAAAATACCGTTTACAATAAATAATTTCCAAAATTAATGTTTGGAATTTTAAAAGGCTTACTGGTGTTCACGAGTTGTTCTGACTGCTGCTAAGTTTCTATGGGCCACAACATTATGGTATTGAAATAAATTAAAATAACGAAATCCGACCACACTTTCAAAATCTAGAGTTCGTTCGCTTCTTATTCGTTAAAACTATGTTTGTTCAGTCTTTACTAATTTATTCAGTGATATACAAAATTAGCCCTGGAAAGTTATGATAAACAGCTGACATCGGTAGGATCATACCGTACCTTATTTTCAATTTGGATAACCGATAGTACCTTTAGCTCTAAAAAATGGTATTACTGAAAGTTGAGCATATAAACCAATAAGATTATCTTGCCATGATTGAGGTGACATGAAGTTAATGGAAATTAGATAGACGCACACAGAAAGCATGTGCCACCAAGCAAAAAATTACGGCATCACTTTCTGGATCCGTTAGAATCGGGTAACTAGTCTTTTTCTCGGATTCACATGAACTAGAATTAATAAGAATGAGTAAGTTTTTTCTTGCGATGTACATCTTATGTCGAAAGTGTCTTTCAACCATTTTGTATATATCACATAATCACCTCCAGAAGTAAAAAATCTGGCTTACATAAATATTGTAATTTGTTTCCCTGGTAAACCTAAAAAAATCGAATCATTTCTCGTTTACTAGTCAGTCATTTAATATGGGACATTGAACCTAACACGTGCGTCAGCTCAAATTACCACACCATATTAGCAGAGACAAAATTATTTCAAAATAAATCCCGCAATAATAGGAGTAATAGAAACGACTAGGTATAGAATAAATGAAAAAGGTAAAAGAAGAATACGGTGTTTAGGAACTAAGGGGAGATGAATGTACCTGCAGCGCTGTATACGTTCCTGAGCCATGTCGCCCAGAGCTTAACCATTAGTTATGGAAGTTGCGCGGAACCAACACAGCCATCTGCATCTACTTATATGGCTCAGTCCAATAGTCAATGACCGTCCCACTTATCTACTAACTTGCCACTAGTCCTCGTAAAAGTGAACGTTAAAATCGTAACCCAGTAGTTATTTTCAGTTCTTTGGTGCTATCCATAATCTCACCTATGTAATGACCGACGATACTTTAACTACACATACTTTGATAAGTGTAAAAGGTCCCAACTAGTTGTTAAGGATTGTATGTTCAGAATTAGTAGCGTACACGTGTTCACACACTATATCTGGGATTACCTTGTTTCGGAACAACAGAAAAGCGGACAGTTTATCACTAAGCTGGATTTTATTATTCGGTAAACTTCTGTAGTGAGCACAAGTTAGATTCTAAGTCGAGTAGCAATGTGAATCAACGGGGGTGATGTTTAATAAACAATTTGAAGGGTTTTTTGGGAAGTTGGCTCTTTTACAAGATCGTGTAACGACCGGACAAGGTGGAATCGAAAATGAGATCCGACCAAACATCAGAGAGAACTCACTGGAAAGCTACGTGAATCCTTGTTGATTGAAATAAATCTGGGGTAATATTATAGATGAGTGTTGTGCATACATCTTTGAAAATGCAAACGATCGCTCATCTCGAGCACCCCTGTTTATAGACCAAGGGATACGATAATAACCACTAGATCAAGCAGTTCTATGCATTGATGTTGTTAGACTTTCGACAGGAGTTTCTTGATTATTTATTTTAATGGACAGAACGTTACCAGTAATTTATTTGTGCATATGATCACTTGTGGCTCAAACAGTATGCTGTGTTTAACTTTTTAGAGTTAAATGCCGAAAAACCCCTGAGTTTGTAGCGAAGTCGTTTTAGTGTCGATCACTGAGCCTGAAGCTTAAATCCTAGGGGTTCATACGGTGAGCTTCCAGCTTTAGTTGCCATCTTTAGGGTTCTGTAGTGGTAGAAACCAAATTTTTGAGCAGGAATATTTTATTTTTCAGCTACACGTTTTTCTACACGAAAAACCAGCTATTAAAAGTAGTAAACCCCTGATTTAAATTCGATTGGTTTTTAAAAAAAGCTCAATATTTTCATGAATTATCTTGAAGTTTCCTCACTAGGAGTTTAATGCTAATTCAGAATTAGAGTTTGGAGCTGGTTTCATTTCCCAGAAGTGAAGAGCACGTACATATCAAGTGTTGATCACCGTATACATCATCTAGCCGACTTACAGTTGGCCACAATTTTGAACGTTTACTTATTGATTCATCTTTCATATTTTGCCATGGGGCTGGAAATGCTGCCACTTGGCGTGTATATGGCCTGTCCCACTTCGAATCCATTACTGTCTGAAATAAGTAATAGTGCATTAATTAATTATTGGGAAAACCGATTCCAGGCATTGACCCATGAATTTGAACTTGGATAAAAAGTGCTACACGATATGTATTTCTAAACTAATTTCATCCTTTATTGCAGAAGTAGCAACCTGAGTGTTTTAGGAGGATTAAGTGACACCATAAATTTCGGTCCTTCGTAGCAGAATAAGCCACCTATATTATACACAAGCTTTTGTTTGTAGTTGTTCATATGAATTTTTACAGGAACATATTTCATAACTTAAAACTTTGATCTTTTTATCTGTAATCCCCATAACAATTTTCGATGTACGGATAAGTATTTATATGAAATCTCCAACTCATCTTGATGAATACTATTGAGCAAAAGATTGCATAGGTTGCGTCATTTCTCAACCTTAAAACCAGAAAATGGGTCAAAAAGGGGATGGAAATGTTTGGGATTTTGATTTTGTTGATAACGACCCATGCCACCTACAGTTTACAACCTTTGATTTCTGGCGTACCCACAGACGAAATCTGTGCATTCTAAACGACTCAATCCAATACTTGATAACTACAGACTGATTCTGTCCTAAAAAGTTTCTAATAAGTCCATATCATTTTTACAACCAGGAATTATGGGGTACCTATTACCCAACGTATCATTTCCTGCAATCACTAATGTGAAGTCACCTGAAAGGGCTAATTTTAGAAGCTCTAAACATAATATTTCGCGCAGAGATGGATGGTGGGTAGCAGTGGAACCCTGTATGAGACTCGTCAGCTGGATTTACCTGCACCCAACAGTTGGTATTTACTTCGAGAGTTGGACCCAGTACCGTTCTCTTCAGACGTCATCGCGTTATCCACTTAGCTACTGATTCTGGATAGCTACTGGCTTGTGCATTGGGGTGAATTTTTAAAGGTTTGTCACGATAGTAAGTTTAAAATTAGACGAATAGATATTTTGGATACTTACTTCCATAGTATGTGGAGCCATCTTTAATGGATTACATTCGATATCCCACTCTCCTTTGGTCACCTTGTCAATCTCTCCTCTGATCGAAATGAGTGCTTCACATAGACGGTCGCACTCAGCTTTAGGTTCACTCTCTGTGGGTTCAATCATTAGGCTTGATGTCACAGGCCATGACATAGTTGGGCTGTGGAAACCTCCATTTGTTTGGTTTAAAAAGTAATGGGAGAAAAAAAGATAACTTGTTTATCATGAATTTCACAATATTGTCATATTTAGTTTGTTCGGCAGTTGAGCAAACCAATGCTTGTTGTATCAGTATTGTTTACATACAAATCGAAGCAGAACTGAGAACCATTTAGGTAACCAAACATATTCAAAGTTAGGTTCCTTCTCTAATTATTGCAATGATCTGCCTACTTTATGCTCGAAAATAAGAGATCAATAGGAAAAAATTGCGGAGTCGCTTAAAGCAACAACCTAATCATCCAAGTTCATATACTAAATCAATATCTATTTATGTTGACTTAATTACCATTCGTGAAATAAACTATGGCACATAAAAACTAAGAATTTTGTAAAAAATTAAATTTAACGATTGGCTATACCGCCTTGAATTTCCATTTTTATCTTCCCATAGCTTTTTTCGGCTGACTTCCCACTTTTACTAGGTACAGAAATAGTAGGTATAAAGTCTGGTATATGTGTATTGAAGATAATAAACATAAGAATACTACTCATCACGGGATTATTAAATCAAATTACTAGAAAACTGGTAAGATGTTACAGTGAGATATAGTAGCTGAGGGGTCTAAATTAAGAAGAATCTACAAATTTTGTACAGTT